ACATCAAGTGGGCTAGGCAGAGCTAACACCATTTTGTCTGGGATGTCACCCAGCAGCATAGCATAAGTTTGAAATACAGACAGTATAGAGCCAATATTCATAACTTCAACTACAAAATTGATACACACATATAGACAGCATAATTATAACCAGTACACCATAACCTTGTCTTAGACACCCCATTTGACCCCCTTTATACAAGATCTGGGTGCCACTACAGGACCTTGGTTGCAACAATGATCTATATGGTCCCAGAGTAGATCAATAACGTCACACCAGTACAATAACTAGTGTGGACACAGTTATACCCCTATAGAGATGCCTTATACCAGTACAGCTTATTCCCCTTTCCATATAGCAATAGCTATACCAGTATAAATCCTTTTATACCCACATACCCGTGTCCACCCTTAGGGGGGGATTGTACTGCTTTAACAATACCAGCATATTTAAAGCAGGGCAACTTGTGTGTGTGGACGAGGCCTAAATTATAGAGATTCTATAGCTCCAATGTTGGCCGTGTGTGATTCCAAGCCAGATTTCCACTGAGCCTGCAACAGTAGTGATACCAACCTGCTATCCATTGAGTCGCTCAAAAAAAATCTACTAGTGAGTTACGCCGTGATGGACCACACAAGGACTCAGCTGGCGAAACTTGTCACTCGGGTGTTTTTTCCACACCCCGAGTGACATCAATTTTGCTGATGTAAATGGTAGCGCAGACAAGCCCCAAGCGAAGTTACAATATGCTCCTATCCTCCGCATCAACATATTTACTCTGGTGTAGGAACCACATCTTCAGCATCACACCACGGCTGATTTACACCAACTGATGATCAGGCTCCTAATTCTTAGGTTATATAGAAAGCTGTGTGTGCCACCATTTTTAACCACAATTCTTTTGGAACCTAAAAAACGCCTAGGGAGTTCTGCTTAAAAAACAATGGTACAATATGGCCCTCTGTTTTTAGCCTTCCAGTACACAGTGGAAGAAGCATTTCTGAAATCCCTCCAGCATTTAGAACAGTGACTGGAATGTTTACAGGACTGAAACTAAATGGACACACATATATATATTTGGCCTTGAGAAAGTCTGGACTCAAAGGTCTAGTATTAACGGACTTTATGTTTGTGCACGATAGGAAGAGCCGAATAACTTGTGATATATTTTGTCTCTTGGGAACAAAATCACTCAAAAATTATCTGAGACCTAATTCAATAACGTTTTGTTCTGTTATTTTGCCAAGCGCCCTAGAAATCTTTACAACAGCAGCTAACCTTGTAACTATCACCACAGGAGTTGTTCATTTAGCCCCTGTGCCATCTCAGGCCCCTGGTCTTCCAGGAACAAACTGCCAAAAGAAATGTTTTTAGAAAAACACATGTGGTCTTTTCTAAGAAGTCTTGAAGGCATCTGGAATATAAATTTGTTGTAGCGTGTGGCATTGTTTATTTATTTGCACATTTTTTGGTGTGGCTTGTTTAAATAGCTGGCAAGGCAGAATGCACACTTATTATTTTATTAGAGATCACATTCATTTTTCACTAGTGTAACTCCATTGACTTGAGTAGGTAACTCCTGATTTACCCTGATTTACTCTTTGCCCTGAGGAGCTGACAATCGAAACTGAAGGCAGGAAAAATAATGCGGAAATGTTACTTGTAATAGCAAAGGAGCAATGACAATGCTGTGGCCACAACTGAAAATGTGCAAAATGATCTTAAAGTCCAAGCAAGGCAAAACTCACCTGAGTTCAGAGTGGAGGTGTGTATAAAGTTGAAACTCTGACTCACTGAAACATTTGCTGAAGTTCACCAGCTCTGATCAAGTCTCAAGTTGGCCTGGGTCCCATTTACAGCTGC